GAACTGGCAGTTGTCAGAGCTGGGATCGGCACCGATCATCAGGGAACTGATTATCAGTGCCCTGATGATCGGTGCCCAGCAATGCCACCCACCTGTTACGCCACCTGTGCCCAGAAGTGCCGCCCACCTGTGCCCAACAGTGCCACTCACCAGTGGCCATCAGTGTCACCCACCTGTGCCACTGTGCCACCCACCAGTGCCCAGTAGTGCCACCCACCTGTGCCCAGCAGTGCCACCCACCTATTCCCACCAATGCCACCCACCAGTGCCCATCAGTGCCTCCAGTCAGTGCCCAGCAGTTGTGCCAGTCAGTGCCCAGAAGTTGCTCCAGTCAATGCCCAGCAGTGCCACCAGTCAATGCCCAGCAGTGCCGCAAGTCAGTGCCAGCAGTGACGCCAATCAGTGCTGCCTATCAGTGCTGACTATCACTACCCATCATCAGTGCCACCTATCAGTGCCGCCTCATTAGTGCCGCCTCTCAGTGCCCTTCAGTGCTGCCTCATCAACTCACATCAGTGAAGGAGAAAAATTACCTGTTTCCAAAATTTTATAATAGAAACAAAGAAACTTTTTTTTTAATTTAATTTTTTGCAACTCTTTTGCTTATAACTCAAAAAATAAAACACCCAGCGGCGATTAATGACCACCAAAAGAAAGCTCTATTTATGAGGAAAAAAAATTATAAAACTTTCATATGAGTACAATCTTGCATGACCGCGCAATTGTCATTCAAAGTGCGACAGCGCTGAAAGCTGAAAATTGGCCTGGTAAGGAAGGGGGTATAAATGCCCGGTAGGCAAGTGGTTAAAAAAAAAACAGTTTTTGTGATTGGAAAGTACAGTCAGTATATGCAGCACATTTATCTCTATTGGACATATCGAACTGAAAAGGCCAACAGATTAAAAAGACCAACAAATATTTACTTATCCTAATAAATTGATCTAATTATTTTGTTCTATGAAATATGAAATTCTGAAAAAGGAATTTATCAAAACTGCAGACAGACAGAATATGAAACAGATATGCATGGCGACCAATCAGCTTCAATATCTCATTTTCAAAGCTAAAAGTGTAAGTTTACTTAAAACAAAAAACAAACAAACAAAAAAACAGCACAAAGGACATTTCTTACCTTCATTGAGATGTGTCCCTTGTTCTGCTGTGTCCTCCTTTTACTGCAATCATCCTCCCCCCACCCCCAATACTGTAATCTTCCAGTAGCAGGAGTAATAGAAATAAGTGGCTTTGTCAGGCACTCATCAAGAGTGCCTGACTATGCCCACCCTGCTCCAGTTGCTCCATTCATAGAAGCCATTATGATGACAGCTTTCATGAATGAGACTGGATCTGTGAATAGAGGACAAGTGAATGATTGATACGTATGCCCCCTCCATTCATAGATTGGGTTTCATTCAAAGAAGTTGTAGCAAAATTGTCTGTGAATGAAGCAGTTGGGTGGAAAGAGCGCGCATAGTTGGGCATTTTTGATAAGTGCCTGTCACAGACTCTCGGTTTTATAAATCCCCACCGCACCAGAAGATCACAGTAGCGGAAGTGGAGGAGAAAGATTTCAGTGAAAGGAGGGCACAGCAGCACAGGGGACATGTCTCACTGAAGGTAAGTAATGTGTGATTGGATGCCATGCGCAGCTGCTCTAGATTCTGGCTGCTCCAGTTCTGATAAATTCCTTCAAGTGTAGAAATATTTTTGCTGGTTCACATTTATTTTAACATCTGAATTTTTTATTCCATGTTCGTGTAACAAAATGACTTTAGTCCTCTAAAAAGACAAGTGTATTCTAAATAATTATTTTATCTTTTGATGTAAAAATGAAACTGCAATTGCCTTTTATGTATTCTACAACTTCAAAGATTTCTAATCTACAAATGATTCCATTTATAAACAGAAAATGGTGCTGTATATTTGCATGTTTAGCTGTATGTTGTAAATTTGTTGTTATGTATCTAGCTGAAAAACATGACAGTATAAACGTTTTAGGTGAATAAATAACTCTCTAGAAAATGGATTACAGAATGAGATGTAAGCATGTTTAACATGTGCATATACCATATTAACAAACTGTGACTACAAAAATATCAGTACATACACATGATTTGAGTTAAATAATATAACAAACTTAATGCACGCAATAAAATTTTAACCACTTCCCATCCGGCCCATATATATAAACGGCTGGACGGGAGCAGTGCAGGATCTGGTTGCCGTTCATAAACAGTGCCCACCACTTTAGCCTGTGCGTGCTCCCTGGGAACACCAATCGCTGTACAGGACCTCTGTGTGAGGTCCCAATCATGTGATCACTGATTGGCCAATCAGTGATCACATGAATAGTAAGCAAGATGTCACTTCTGACATCATTGCTTACTACATGTGAAAAACATGGTACAAGGCTATTCACAACAGCTTTGTACCATGTGACAAGCTGTGACCAATCACAGCTCCCACAGTATTTCTCAATGGCTGCAGGAATGCAGCCAGAGAGAAGGAGAAATGTTTGCTTTTACAGCCTTTATGGGTGTAAAAGCAATCAGTGTAAAGAAAAAAAAAAAAACTATCTTCATCATCACCCCCCACAAGTAGTACAGTGTCACTATGGTGACACTGTACTGCTAGGGTGACAGTATGTAAAAAAAATTAAATAAATAATAATAATAATATAAAAAAAAATAAAAATGTAAGAAAATGTTTTTTAAAATGATAATTTTTGGTTATAAACTAATTTTGGTAATTGTTGTATTACTAAAAACATAACTGAATACATTTTGGCCAAGATTTATGAAGAAAGATTATTTATTTGCAAAATGTTATAAGAAAAACACTTTTTTTTCTCAATTATATAGCAAAAAAAAAAAAAATAAAATCCCAGTGGTGAATAAATGCCACCAAAAATAAATTTTTATCTGTCTCAAAAAAATTCATATGGGTATAGTGTTGCATGACTGCGCAATTGTCATTCAAAGTGTGACAGCGCTGAAAGCTGAAAATTGGCCTGGACAGGAAGGGGGTAAAAGTGTCCGGACTCGAAGTGGTTGAACACCACTTTGTATTTTGTGTTTTCTTTCCTGCCTTTAAACACCCTTCCCACACATTTATAGGCAGAAAAAAGTTTTCAGAAGAGGAGGGTTCCAGCATCAAAACATACTTGATGAACCTAGACATATGTAAACACGGGTAAGCATGCTTTAGCACTAGGCACATGAAAAGCTCGGATGTTCTTGAATTGCAATGGCCAGAGAAAATTGATATTCTGGCCAATTAAATTAATGAATACCCAATCACTTGCAGTGCCTAAACTTCCAGCATAGGTGCCCAGGGGAGGAAGAAAAGTCCTGTGTGATTGAGGACTTAAAGTAAATGTGAACATTGAAAAGTTAACATAACTAAGTTAACACTTTTGCTTTGCAGTAGTAAGACCTAGGACATGATCTGCATGGAGTTTGTATGTTCTGTCTGTGCTTGTATGCTTTACCTCCCACTATCAGAAAACTTACAGATAGAGGTGGATTAAAGTATAAGTAAACCCTAACAATGAACATATCTTTGTTAAATATACCCTTGAAAACAATTAGTTATATCCGTGTAGGAAACCAGAAATCCACCTAATTCTGAACTTCTTGTGCACTCCTCCTTTACTGCACTGAAATCTCAAGCAGTGTTACCCCCCCCCCCCCCCCCCACATTGTAAAGATTTCCTGTTTACTTTGTTAACTGGTAATGGGTGTTTCTGGAATACAAAATGAGCGTAATTGTCCCCATAAGGACAAAGAGAACAATAATGACTTGAAGGAGCTTGTATGTTTTCCTGACTATATTCAGAATTCATTGCTAACTCTCAGTGTACATTTATACATAACTTAGTAACCTACAGATTGACATATTTATTCCCACTTCTCTACTATAAAAAGAAGAATCCTTTCTTGAACCCTTTTTCTGCTAGATTCTGCGCTCCACTTTTAAAACCAGGTGGCCAGACCATTTTTGCAATTTTCCCGTTTATTTATTTTTAATTATAGTTTTTAAAGTTTGTTAAAGTGTTACTAAACCCAGGACCCTGAATTCACTATATCTGATCTCCCACAGTACACAGAACATGGAAGTGCAATTATTTTAGTAAATTTAAAGTGCTAAATACCTTTTTTCATCATCAGAACATAGCAGTCTTGTGACTTTTATCAGTGTCCAGCCGAGCACATGTTAAAGCTTGTAGGAGTTTTAATTTTGCTCTAGGAGGATGCAGAACCCCTGACCTCTGTCTGGACAGTGCTGATTGGCCCTGTGCTGATCACATGCACCCTCCCCAGAAAAAAAAACTTCTCTAGCAATACACACCAAACTGAGCATGTGCAGAGTGACTCCACACAATATGTCTTATCAGGAGATAAGAGGGGGACACTGGAAGGGGAGGATCAAATAAGTCAGGATCAAACAGCTTTTTTTACATAATGCAGAGGATTAACCCCTTAGGTTCCAAAGTGAGTATAATAAGCATGCTTTACTGCATATACAGGCTGATTTTACTGTTGTGGGTTTGGTAACCCTTTAAGTAGCCCACCAAACCATTTATTTTCTGAAAGCAAAAAACCCATAGAATAAAAAAGAAAGTGCTACTGATTGTTTTGGCCCTGTGATATTTGTGCAAAAGCTTTTCACATCACTATTTTTGCTAAAAATACACTAAAATTATTATAAGCGGATAAAAAACACAGCTAAGCTAAAAATGTATTTAGCTGATAAATAAAAAATATTTGTAAAGTTTAACCACCTTCCGCCCACCCTATAGTACAATGACGGGCACAAGGTGGCTCTCTCGTTCTGATAGGACGTCATATGACGTCCTACCATTCTCACTGCGCATGCGCAGCTCAGGGAGCATGCAGTGCAGCGATTGCCAGTGCGCTGTGTCCCTCGGACACAGCGGATCACGGAAAGAGCTGAAGATGTCAGCTCGGTCATGTGATCAGCTGTGTCCAATCACAGATGATCACATGTAAACACGGAAATGCCTGTTTTCGGCATTTCTCTCCTCTCGAGCTGTCATGCTGATAGCTCGAGAGGAGAGCCAGTAATCAGCTTTCCGCAGAGGGGACATGTACACTGATCATCAGGGCACTGATGATTAGTGTGCCCTGATGATCAGTGTGGCCCCAGAAGTGCCACCTGTCAGTGCTCATCAGTGCCATGTGCCAGTGTCCATTAGTGCCACATCAATGCCAAATATCGGTGCATACCAGTGCACATCAATGCCACATATCAGTGCCCATCTGAGCTGCCTTTCAATGTCACCCATCAGTGCCAGTCAGTGCCACCTATCAATGCCAATCAGTGTCACCTATCAGTGCCAGTCAGTGTCACATATCAGTGCGCATCAGTGCCAGTCAGTGCCGCCTATCAGTGCCAGTCAGTGCCACCTGTCAGTGCTGCCTAACAGTGCCAGTCAGTGCCGCCTATCAGTGCCAGTCAGTGATGCCTGTCAATGCCCATCAGTGCAACCTACCAGTGCCTCCTCATCAGTGCCCGTCAGTGCTACCTATCAGTGTCCATCAGTGCAGCCTATCAGTGCCCATCACTGCAGCCTCATTAGCGCATATCAGTGAAGGAGAAAAATCACTTATTTACAAAATTGTATAACAAAAACTAAGAAAAAACAGGGTTTTTTTTCAAAATTTTCAGTGGTTTTTTTTGGTTTGTTTAAGAAAAAATAAAAATCCCAGAGGTGATTAAATACCATCAAAATAAAGCTCTATCTGTCTCAAAAAAATGATACAAATTTCATATGGGTACAGTGTTGCATGACCGCGCAATTGTCATTCAAAGTGTGACAGCGCTGAAAGCTGGAAATAGGCCTGGGCAGGAAGGGGGTATAAGTGCCGTGTAGGCTAGTGGTTAAACTTTGCCTTTTTGTGAAACGGTGAAACAAGCAATCTGTAGGTTGGCTATGCATTTTGCTAATGTCCAATCTCAGTGCCCTGTGTGCACTACATTGTGTAATTTATGATAAAATTATGCATACGCAGGAGGTCATTTTTGCCTTGTGCCTACATATGATATATGTATCATATATGTATATGATATTCTTCTCTGGATGGATGCTGGATTTAATCTAGTTTATTATCAAGACTTTTATGTAGTTTTACTGTATATTATGTTAGTATTGGTTAATTAAGTGTAATATTTTTAGGGTAATGTTTACAGAAAGTGGTGCAATATTTGCATTTTGTAGTTTGATTTTCTGTTATTTTTCAGTCAGTGGTATTATTCTATGTAGTGTATTAATAGGGTGGCATAGTTTATTACAGTATAGTGCTAATTTAGTTTTAATTTGTTTACTTTAATGTTAACCCATGGTTATCGTATATATTAACTTGGTGTTGTTGGTCATTTTAATGCTATTATTGGATCTTGTTTCCATTTGTTATTGTGATTTTGTGCTGTCTTTGCTGAATGTAACTGTATCTTAATAATATTCCTTTCGAATTAATAAATTATTGTGAATCTAAATTTCAATGCAATACAGTGTGTCACAATTTGTGGCAACAGGTCCAATGCACTGACGCACATAAATTTGAGTGAATGCAATTTAATAGTTTAGCTCTGCCCCATAACAGAAACACTGCTACAGGGCGGCAGCTGCTTGCAAAATCATGTGTATATATACATGATGTTGCGTTTCCGGGTAGGGGGAGCATGCGCCTTACTCGAGCTGCCATTTGTGGCCAAGGCTATCAAGCACTGGGTCCCGGCTGGTGATTACTCACTGACCCCGGTGATTGCCAAGGATCTCTTAGGGGACAAAACAGTTCTCCTCCCATTCAGCTCCTGCACAGTGCTTTACATGGCTGTGCACAGCACAGCCATGCAAAGCAGTGTGCTTACAGTGAAGTACAAACACAGAACATGATGTAAAACAGCACACAGTTAACCCTTTGATCGCCTCAGATATTAGCCCCTTCCTACCCAGTACCATTAGTACAGTGTCAGTGCTTTTTATTAGCACTGATCACTGTATTGGTGTCACTGAGGATGTCAGTGACATCAAGTCAGTTCCCCCCAGTGTCAGAATGCCCGCAGCAGTCCTGCTATAAGCCGCTGATGGCCGCCATTAATAGTAAAAAAAAAAAAAATCTTAGCATATTTACTGCCATTTGTAAATGCTATAACGTTCACATAAACCAATTAATTTACATGTATTGGAATTTTTTTTAGCAAAGATGTAGCAGAATACATTTTGGCCTAAATTTATGATGACATTTTATTTTTTACATTTTTTTACTGAAGATGTTTAATATCAAAAAGTAAAAAAACATTTTTTTTCATAGCGCAAAAAAATAAAAACACACAGGTGATCAAATACCACCAAAAGAAATCTCTATTCGTGAGGAAAAAAAGGATGTAAATTTAATTTGGGTTCAGTGTTGCATGATCACGCAATTGTCAGTTAAAGTAAGGCAGCGGCGTAACACAAAAAATGGCCTGGTCAGGAAGGGGGGTAAATCCTCTGGAAGGCAAGTGGTTGAAGAAAATGAGTGCTTGTGTACAATGCATACCAGATCACAAGGGTTATGTGCACCATAACGCAAGTCCAGTAATATGAATGGGCCCTTAGTGTGTTGGTGCACTGGAGCTGTGTGCAGACAGCCTATGCTACACCATACGGATGCAACAGCTGTACGAACACAGCCACAGTGCTAGGTGTGGGTGCCGGGGCATGGTCCCAAATGCAGACAGTATACATTCAGGGATGCTCACCTGCACCTGCACACCTATTAAATTAGGACCTGGGTCTGCGGTCATACAGATTTTGTGTCCACATAGACCATAGAACTACATAGTCTTCCTGCACGTGCCTTCAGGCAGTTCAAGCCTCATAAACAAAGCACTCACTTGTGCAATATGGGCCAGAAAACCCATGTGAATGAGCCCTTAAGGCCTTGTTCACACGAAGCGTACTACAGTATAATCCCTTGCAAGGCTGTGTTTACCCACAAAGGGATGTGCCATGCATCTCCATGCAGGCAGTACCATTGATGTCAATTGGGACAGCATAGCTACACAGACACAGCTGTTGCTTCCGATTTTACATTCATGGGGTACATGGCCCAGAACAAAGACACTGTGAGTTCAGGGGTGAGGTTTATAATGATTTATCAACAAACAAACAGTTATTGACATATTTCACACCATAGTGCTTAATCATAAGTGGTAATTTTATTAGGCACTACAGTGCACTAGGCACTGACCCTAGGTTCACATCTGTGTAGGTGGTGCTGCTGTGGATCAGCACGAAAATCCATGCAGCCGCACCACCAGCACAGAGGAATGCAGGCCCACGGGCGGGTGCCATTAGTTCTAATGGCACGCCACCTGCATTGGAAAACACAACCGTACTGGGAACCGAGGTTCCCGTGCTGGCTGCGTTTTCAAAAGAAGTGCAGGGACTTCCTCCCTGCGTGTCATGGGCACGGGCGTCCAATCAAATGAATGGGCTCTCGTGCCCATGCAAAACGCGGCCCGCATGGCCGCATATATGTGACCCGGGGGTAATAAGGCACTACAGAATTTTTTTTAAGGCATTCTATGGCTGCTCCTAATGTAAACTGATAAAGCTTAATAAACCTCGCAGTTCTTGAATTTTACTGTTTGGACCCTTTCTTTTGTACATATTGGACTTTCAGCCAGACAAGACTGGTGGTAATGGTAGTACATAGAGAAGTGGATACTGACAGAATCTGCTAGTGGCAGCAGGCTCTGCTTCATGTTTAACTAATGTAACTGCTTTTTCTACATAAAGCTTATAGATATTTAAAAATCATATTTTAATCTAACATGTGTGTTAAAATACCATATAATCCATCATTTGCCTCAAAAATAATGATGCCGCATAGACAGTGATCTGCTATCCTAAATACAGTGAATGTAAACACTGTTCAATATGCTGAGTTAATATCTAGGCAACTATTTGGTGCATGAGGACCAGAAAGTCAAGAACTTACTTCAGAATTAAATTTCAGCTGACAAATATTGCAGGGGGGGATTTGCTTTCTTCGTTGCGGTAAGGGAACCCCAAATGTGTGATTTATGACTGCTTTTTGAACTGGGTCCATCTGCAATGAAAAGACAAAAATAAGTCTTGTTTTACCCAGACTTATCTTCATATGATGAAGATGATAGCAGCATGGTGTACCTAATACTGGTTTATATGGGGTAAATTCAAAGAATCTCTAAACCTGCAACTACATTAATCCCTGGGTAAAATACGTATGTTGCCACTAAAACTAATAAATAACTGAGACAACTATTGCATTAAAACAGGTCCTCTTGATTTTACAACAATGACTTTAATGCCTATAACAGTCTTCTCTGATGGAAAGACAGGTTTCAAACACCATTTTAACAGCAATAACACAACATAGCTATGACCGTATGCTTATGGTTAGCATGTAGCAGTCTGTCCTACAAAGTCCCTTTAGCAATCACTATTATAATTACATAACTTGGTGCTAACTGAGCTGGTGAATACTCCAAATGTCTGCTGTCCTGCCCATTCCCAACACTGTAGATGGTCTTGCCTTGGATGTGAAAAACATAAGTTATGCAGGAAAGGAATCCCATCATAGGTAATAATTGAGCCACTTAGGGGATTTAAGAAGAATCTACTGAAATAGAAATAGCTTAAAATGATGGAAATGTTGTATTCTGGGTAATAGAACATAGACATGGATATCAATAATAAGTACCATACTACAGTTCAATGAGTTTTTGCATCTTTGTGCACTTCACAATGGTATATAAGTAGAAAGGCTGTTAGGCTTTTTCCTACAAAACCACTGGCAGTTGCATATATATTTATCCAACTGTATTGTTTTAAATGAATGCTTGTACAGTTGTACTCAAAAGTTTACACACCCTGGCAGAAATAGTGAAATTTTGGCATTGATATTGAAAATATGACTGATCATGCCAAAAAAATGCTCTTTTATTGAAGGATGATGATCATATGAAGCCATTTATTATCAAATAATTGTTTGGCTCCTTTTTAAATCAATGATAACAGAAATCACCCAAATAGCCATGATCAAAAGTTTACATACCCTGGAACGTTTGGCTTTGGTACAGACACACAAGGTGACACACACGGGTTAAAATGCCAATTAGAAGTTAATGTTCCACATATGTGGCTTTTTAAATTGCAGTTAGTGTCAGTGTATACATAGTCATTGAGTTTGCTAGCTCTTATGTGGAAGCACTGACTGGGCTAGATACTGAGCCATGGGGATCAGAAAAGAACTGTCAAAAGTCTTGTGTAACAAGGTAATGGAACTTTATAAAGATGGAAAAGGACATAAAAATATGTCCAAAGCCTTGACTATGCCAATCAGTACTGTTAAATCACCTATTAAGAAGTGGAAAATTCAGGGATCTCTTAATACTAAGCCAAGGTCAGGTAGACCAAGAAAGATTGCAGCCACAACTGCCAGAAGAATTGTTCGGGATAAAGTGAAACCCATAGGTAACCACAAGAAAAATACAGGCTGCTCTGGAAAAAGACAGTGTGGTTGTTTTGAAGGAGCACAATATGATGATACTTGAACAAAAATGAGCTGCATGGTCAAGGTGCCAGAAAGAAGCCT